CTGACAAGCAAAAGTTAACTTAGTTAAAAACTTGATTCTGACCCACTGTGTCTTATTTTCTTCAGCAAATTGTGATGGAGTTCCAAGTACTTTTTACCTTTTCTAACATCCTAGGAAGTATTGCAGTGATACCACAGATCTATATATATAACCCGCAACTTGAGTGGTATAAAATATAGTTGTTTGATAAAAACCTCCATCTGCAAAATCAGGGGGCAGAAGCAAGGAGGCCATAGATGAATCAGAAGCAAAGCAATATTAAAGAGGAAGAAGCAGCTCTAGGGTAAATGTATCTGTATGCTCACGTGTTTTGGGTTGGTTTGGGTTGGAAGGGACCTTAAAGATCATCTAGCTCCAACCCTTCTGCTGCAGGCAGGGACACCTCCCACTAGACCAGGTTGCTCAAAGCCCCATCCAACATGGTCTCAAACACATCCAGTGCTGGAGCATCCACAGCTTCCCTGGGCAACCTGCTGCAGTGTCTCACCACCCTCACGATGAAGAACTTCTTCCTAAACTAAATCTTCCTTCTTACAGTTTGAGCCCATTACACCTTGTCCTATCACTACAAGCCCTCGTAAAAAGTCCCTCCCCAGCTTTCCTGTAGGCTCCCTTCATAAACTGATAGGCTGCAATAAAGTCTTCCTGGAGCCTTCTCTTCTCTAGGCTGAACAATCCCAGCTCTCTCAATCTGTCCTTGTAGTAGAGGTGTTCCAGCCCTTGGATCATCTTTGTGGCCCTACATCATGCTGCAGCACTGAATGTTTAAAAGAACCTCCTCTTCTACCTTATTTCCACATAAAATCTGAAAGTGCTTTCACTTAAGTACCCTCTAAGAAAGTATTAATGTGGACATGCATGTGAGTTACATGTAGATAGTATCTCATATATGACACATACTTTTGCTTTCTCTGTTGCACCACTGGCTAAACATGCACTTATCTAATGCACTGAATCACATCAGAGCACCTAAAATTATATAAGAATGACATGCTGGAGAAGGAATTATGCTACCTAAAAGTAGGCCTCTGCTATTCCTCCACAAAAATCTTGTTTATGACAACTTAAAAGTTATAATGTTAGTCCACAGGCTCTGTATGTCAGTTATAAAGATGTATGACCCTACAGAAAACAGTACTAATTTGAGGTTGTCTCATTTGCTGAGGCAACCACAACACATGTAACATACCCAAAAGGGACGTGTGGCAGTAGATAATCTTCCTCCTTTGTATAAATCACTTCATTCAAAAGTATGAATGCTTGAGTGGCTCAGTAAGTTATTCCAGCAGAGACTCCACAGGACCTTAATGGGACACTATTGAGAGAAATGTCTTATTTTCACCTGGGCCTCATCCAGGTGTAAACAGTACTTCCAGAAACTAAAGCCGTCAACAGTTCATACTTAGAAACTATGTGAAGTAGTTATTAAGTTTCTAAATGCATATGAGTACTAGGAGCTATGTTACACTGTTTAAACTATTAGATCCATTATATAAAATATTTATATGATGAACTTTGAGAACAGTTCTTAACTTTGGTAGATTATTCAGCAGATATGGGGAATTTCAAATTTAAATCACTACTGTAATTGGCTTCATGTGGAATAGTATCCTATTGTGTTATGTAGAGCTGGTATTTTTACTGTGGCATCTTTGAAAAGTATTTCAGCAACATTGTAGAACTGTAGCAAGGACTAGATATGACCTGCCCTTAGAAATCCCACTCACCTGTAAATATCACCCTCCTGGGAAGGAAGGCCTCCTTCAAGTATTTCAGGCGGGAGGTACACTAAATCCGGGCAGTTTCTCTGGCTGCAGTTCTGCAGGTCTGACCTCAGTTGCTCTTTCCTCCAATTAGTTAGACCGTAATCTGATATCTACAGAGGTAGGAGAAAAAGTACATTTCAGTAACAATGTTGACCATTAGGATAAATATATGCAAGAATAGGACAATCATTGGATTTTACATTAATAGGCTAAAAGTAGAAGCTGCTACCTTGGCTCTGTACTGCATATCCAAAAGCACATTGGAAGGTTTCAGGCTGCAGTGGCAGAAAGCAGGTTCGAGGCTATGGAGGTGATGCAACCCCTCAGCCACATCTGACAGGATCCTTATGAGCAAGGCAAATGGAAGTTCTGGGTACAGTTGGTGCTAAGTAACACAAAATACAGGTTTTGGTAGTGTGGATTTGTTATTATTCACACTTTCATTTGACAATAAACAGAAGTACAGTACAGAAACTAAAGAACAAATTGACTGTGACTGCTGTCCATAATTTACGTGCTGATTGTTCTCTGTTGACTGACCTTGTAATTAATTTTGTCACATAAAAGACTTTTTATATACCTCATGGATGAGTGAGTGGAGGGATCCATTGTTCATCCACTCAGTCACTATCCCCACAAGTCCACGGTACTGGTAAATCCCAAGAGGAGGCAAGAGGCGTTCAGACTCATAGCATCTGACACTTGCTATATCCTGAAGTAGTAAATTCCACTCCCTGTAAAAAAACCCCAAGGGTTAGAGGCAGGTTAGGCTGAAGGGAGTTCCACCTAGAGGTGAGATAGTGCAGGATATGGAAATGAGAGATAACACTGTCGAACACAAGCTAATATAGTTCTACCAATAAAACAAATATTCCTACTCAACGCTCTGGATGCTTTAACATGGACGTAAGAGCACAATTTAAAGCAGGATTGAAGAGTGAAAACAGAAGAAAGGTGGATTATGTGAAATACTAGATTAAGAAAAATCAACTCCTCTTATTGTCACCAAGAACTTGTATCCTTTTGCTATTTATCCATATTTATGAGGAAATTATGATCTTCTATGCTTCTGTAATGGGACCATTTATATAAATGATATATGAGATAGCTGTCATAGCATGATATGAAAGTGAAGCCAAATTCAGATTTGATGTCAGCAGTACCATTCAAGTGACCATATTTGAAACAAGCTCAACTATGGTTGGCTTGTAGACCTGAATTAAAGTTTTTTTTACAGAGAATAACAAAGATCTGCTTGGATCATCGTCATAAGAATAAAGTTTTACTGTCTAAGGACTTCAGTTATTTCTTTGTGCACAGGAAACACTGAACTATTGATTCAATTGTGCATTTTCATGGAAGGCAGAACTGAGCTTCTGCTACAGGTTCAATTTTTATTAATTATATGTTTGATTTTAAAGATCTGATTATCTCTTCCCTATGGTACTTGTGAGCTGAAAATTCACTGAAAATAATTCAAAATTCAGTTGATTTCAATAGACTTGGAGCTTGTTCTCATTCTCACCAGCCTTTCCACTGAGATTTCAGATTCAGTTTCTCATATTTATTGTGTTGCTTCACAGTCCCACCTCTTTTAACACTTAACTCCATGAATCTAAATATTTATCATCAGCACACAGTTAAATATTTTGCAGCTGGAGTAAGACACAGTTTATTCACCCAGCTTTCCTAAACACTGTGTAGCATAAACAAGGGTTCAGAATGGTAGAAATAAGAGAAAAGAAAAAGAGTGGCTTTAGTATTAGGAAGCAATTTTGAGTGAAAAGATGCCAAATCAGGATAGCATGTTAACTTCAAAGCAAAGTAAAATGTTGATTTCAGTAACTTTAACTATTTTATTTTGAGGTCTGTTTGATTTAAAGAAAATGTGGGCAGGGGACAGAATAAACTTTTTTCTTTAAAGAAGCTACCAAACAAACAACATTTGTTCAGATTATAAAATTGCTGGACTCGACTGTAAAAAAGCAAGCAATCTTCCCCCTCAACCACAAAAAAAACCCCTTAAAATTCTTAGCCTCTGGAAAGATGTAATACCACATCATGTACTAGTGATCAGGGTTTGTAGATATTAATACAGTAAACAGAATTAATGACTTCAGGATTGAGTTCTGCTTTTATAAAAATCTGTAAAAATCATAAAGCTCGTTTCTCAGTAGAACTGCCTCCAGGTTGCCCCTTGGCTAGTCAGGATTTCCAGGAAAGGAGATGTGTTTTGGGGTCAGATGATCCGGGCATGCCATGAGTCACTCTGGTGCCACTGCTCCAAGTCTGTGCTGCCCATCTGTGTGGCTGGTTGGCCAAATGAGACACGTACCTCTCTGTAGTGTCCTGGTTGGCCAGCAGCTTCACAGAGATGTGGGTGTTCCAAGGAATATGAAAGGCTTTGAGTGCAAAGCCCGAACCTGTCCTGATCAAGGTAAAGCTATCCAAATCTTCCTGGGCTACTGCAGCAAATGATTTGGCCATTTCTCGATGGCTGTCCTGGGGGGAAAATGGTAGAAAATAAAAAAGTTTTAAGAACTATTTTTTGTCACTATTAACAAAACACAGTGAAGTTGCACCACCCCTAAATTCCCAAATAACTATTACTCTAATCCAACAGGCTTCCTTTTACCACTCTGTGTCAGACTTTCCTTATAAAGACAGGAAAAACACACTAATTGCAAAGGAGTGCCTCGGCCATAACTTGCTATCAGAGGTTCCAAAGTGCTAATTAATTGCTTGTTATTGTTTCCATCTGATGACTTTGAAATGCTGGGCCACTATTTGTAATATGTGATTTATTTTTAAAGTGATACTGAATTATATAGACAACAAACTAGTCTCTTGCAGTTACATGCTAGACAAATATAGTTTCCCTGCCTCCCATAAAAAAGGCAGTTATTCAATAACATGTCAGTGTGCTCTGCATCATTCTTGTGCATCTTCTTTAATATGACATTACATGTGAACACAAAAGCAAGGTAAAGGGCACATTTCCTGCTGCTGTAAGCTGGCAGAGCGCTGCTAAATGGAGTTGTCTTTATAGCAGCCACTGATTTGGCCAGTCCTCTCTCGGGCCATCTGAACATCTCAGACCTGTTGTATGGCAATGCACAGGGATTAGAAATAACTTCTGCCAAGCATGACTGCGTTACTACATTAATACTTTTTTTTAATTACATCTGTGAAGATGTGAAGACTAGAGATAACTAAAAGTGAAAGAGAAAAACAGGCTAAGAAAGCCAATGAGATAAAACCATTGGTAAGCATTACTGCATTATCAGTGGTCAGTGAATCAGAAGAACCCAAACTGGAATAGTGTCCACTAGACAAAGGCTAGAAAAGGCAACACATGAGGGAACTTGGAGTAACCATTGAGGACGGTTGATTGTGAATTGTGTCCTTCTAGAAGATGGGCTGTACAAAAAGAGCTCCTGGGTTGTAGAAGGCCTGAAGGTCTTATGACTTTGAGCAGTCTTTCCACAAGCAAAATAGAAACAAAAATCTTAAGATATATTAGCCTGTGCTCATGGCTGAACTGCTTCTAGTTCTTGACCACCTCATTTTCAGTTAATCTCGATATCTCTGCTGTGCCAGGCAAACACATTGACAATCAGAGGGGTACTATGCTCTGTTTTGTATCTAACCACAATCAAAATGCAAATAAAAATTCATCAGCTGATTTACCAGTTCAGCTTTAACAGTATTTGATGCTGATGGGAAAGCACCATAGAACTTTTTGCTTTGTGTTAGATTACTGTAGTTTGAAAGCAATAGCTACCTTAGGTGCTTAAAGTTTCCTTAAAGAATAAACGCAGTATGGCAACAGGCTGATGGACAGGTTAAGAGCTTCCTAAAATTTGGAAAGGTTCCTTTCAGTGAAGATAAATTTCCAAATGAGGTATTTGTCTTTCAAAGTTACAAAGACAGACCACACAGATCTACCAATCCTAAATATAAAGGAGGTAATCAAAAGACTGGCAGGAGCAAAATTATGTCTCATTTTTATTATATACTATCACTAAAAAATGCATTTAAATAGCCAAAAGAATTTACTCAAGTCCAAACATAGAACAGGATATAGGATATATTAAAAAAATGAATATAGGATCTATACCATTCCTGAAAGCATCTATTTAAAATTGAATCAAGTAAAACTATTAGAGGTTTTTAAACTCTTGTTAACTGGCTACTTCGATAAAAATAAATACTAGCCCTCAGCTCCTATTCTGGATTTGCAAAACCTGATTTAACTAAGGATTTTCTAAAAAAGAACTGAAAACCACATTAAACTTTTGCTGTTTCAAACCACGGCATACCAACCACCATTGCCCCTGAGTTTGTACATCTCTTTCCACATCTCAACTTAAAGCAATTTGCTGATAATCTCCAGAAAATTTTAACCCTAAAATGAAAAGTCTTTTATTTTTCCAGCAGCTATGTAGATTCCTAAAACTGCTGGAAGAACTGATCATGAGATCAGGGACTCTCAAACAATAACAGGTAACAAAATCTCTCTTTATTCCCTAGACTGGAAGTCTGGTAGTACCAAAGCCATTTTTTTCAATAGTTCTGATCTTCTGAATGCTTTTTCTCCTAGAACCTTCTAAAAAGTCACTATCAAACTACACACCCAATATTTCTTAGGTGATCTTTGTGATGGAGGGTTTTGCATCATTTTTTAGTAAAACAGTGAAAGTTTCAGAACACTTTGTCATCCTCCCCTAGTTGGGCAGGCAAAGGCAGGAGAGAGACTGCTGTGAAAACATCTATTTTAAAGTTCTAAGTTTAAAGGTGTTTTTTTAAGAAGTAATAGTGAAGATGTATTCCTTAGTACAAAAGAAGCTAATGTGTTAACATTGAAATATTGCTATAAAAGAAATTAGAAACAAAAATCAACTTACCTCTGGAAATAGAACATATAAACTAAGGAACCATGAAGTGAAACTGCTGCAGATACCAAGTTCGAATCAGCCTTGAACTGTCCTCACAGCTGAGCTTTCCTGTGTGAGTCAGCCTGGATGTTGATCTCTCCTTTTATTGGCTGCCTGCAAAAATTTCCTGGTTTGGTGTAGAAGCTGTAACTCTTTAGTGACTGTGGATGGGTTTTTGCAGGTTGATTTGTTAACTGCTAGTAATTAACAAAAACAATTACAGAAAAAAAGAAGTTGGATAGATGCTTTTTGCTACAATGAGGAATACCAAGAGTGAAAACCACCATGTTGGATACAGCCCAGATATGTAGAGCTGCTCACAGGTTGTGCAGCTGATGCTTATCTCTGCAACAGATCAACCCAGAAGCATAAGTCCAAAAACCCTTTAAACTTTTAAAGTCAGGTTGATCATAAAACAGGATGAAAACAGTTGTATTTGTATCGTTTTGTTTGTTTGGCTTTGTTTGTTTTTTTTTTGTTTTTTTTTTGTTTTTTTTCTGGTTACAGAGTAGGTAAGTGTAGGGGTAACAGGTTGCAAAGAAGTAAGGATCAATTGGCTGCCAAGTAGCCCATCTGAAAAGGATGTAGGGGTTATGATGGAAGCTAAGCTGATCATGAGCCAAGAGTACTCTCATCACAAGAGGGGAAAGTTGCATAATGGGCTATGTTAGAAATGCAGTCAAAGTGAGAGTAATCATTATGCCTCGAGTACTCAGAAATAGTGAGGCTGCATCTGAAATACTGTAGTCAACTTCAGGCCACTCAGTTCAACGAAAATGTTGAGAAACTGGGGAGGATGCAGTAGACAGCTACCAAGATGAGGCCCTAGAGCACATACCTTACAAAGAGAGGTTGACGGAGTCTTGTTTAGTCAGGTGAAGGAGACTGGGGTGGGAGGCAGTTCTGCTAGAAGCCTATGGCTGCTTGAAGGTCAGTTATGAAGACAGAGCTAAATTCTTCATAGTAGCAGATAGCAACCAGTGGCATAGGCAGATGTGTCTACTTCAGACGTTCAAGCCAGGTGCTAGAAAAAGTTTTTCACCAGGTGGGGAACGCAATACACAAATGGCCACTCTGGTTGCAAAGTCTTCATCCTTTAAGGTTTTCTAAACTCAGATAAGCAAAGCCATGGCTAACCTGATACAGCACTGTTGGTAGTCCTGCTTTGAGCAAGAGGCTATGCTAGGAAGTGTCCAGAATATCTTTAGTTTTGTGAGAACTCTGTAAAGCCTAATTGTGTGCCTGCTAGGCCCCCAGCATATACATTCACACTGAAGGTTGATGGGACTGCTGGATGCAGGGTGGAGGGTTTAGGAGAAAGTAAGTAGTCATTTTAGTTGATCACATTTATTCAAGCTTTCTACTCTATTAAAACTGTCTTTGTTTATAGAGTCTGACTTTAAAAACTAGTGTCAGTCAATGACATACTGTCCACAGACTTCTGTTGGTTTTGGATCAAATGCTAACCCCTCAACAGGGAGGGAACAAGCAGTAAGGCAGTTACCTAATCCTCCTCTGACTACAGGAAAGTCCCTGATACTGAAAAATCATGTGGCTAGGGCTTCGTGGCCTGAAAGGAAACACACTGTAAGTAGGAAGCATGGAGTATGCTTCATGTCCAATGCTTTATTTCCTAACAGCTGTAGCTATCTGACCAGCATCAGCTTTGTCCGCCCAGCACACCCCTCCAAAAGGAAAATTAGTGAGGGAGCTGAAGCAGCAAAGGTAAAGTAGGTGGGCTGAAACAGTCCTAGAGAGGGTTGGAAGCATGTCAAGTTTTTGTGGTCTCAAGATTCTCCTCCCCTGGGCTTTGATTTATCAACGAATTCATTTGTGTCTATAGTCTACACTTCTGTAAAAAGTACTTTAAAAATGTTTTGCCTTGTTTAAGGTGTTAGCCTGTCAGGCTCAGACTGTACTGCAGCAGTGTCACAGCTGTGCAAAATCCTTACAGCTACTGAAGAACACTTCTTAGGGAGAGCTTTGTAGGTAGTTTAAAGGACTTAATTTTGCCAAAATTCTATGACACTAAAAATAGTCTCAGGTAGTTTTGTGTTTTTAGAATATCATGCACTGAGGAAGCAGAGTACTATGACAATCCTGCATTTATTTACTCCTTTTGATTATTTCTTTAAGCTTAAAAAACCCTCAGTATAAACTCTAAAGCTTAATTTTGATCCATATTTGGAGAAACCAGAAACATACAGGACAATTTACAGTGCAGGTCTAAGCTAATTGAACATCATTATTACTGAACAATTAAAAATAATTAGTATTTTACCTAGATGTAATTTATGTAGAGAAATTTAAAGCCTCTCATATAATAGGAAAGATTATAAATAGTGGACAAGGCAAAAACTTCTGTAGGCTCACACAAGGGCTGTTTTGTGCATTAATTAGACAAAATTAAGATAATTAAATTTTAGTTTGACTATAAGTTGTTTTGGTGCCTTTTTTTTTTTTTAATTGTGGAAAATACTTGGAATAAAACCTTCCAGCAAGGAATATTGGGTAAGACAGACATTGAATCTTTGTAATCTCTTATGCATG